GGCTGCGTGCTGGGCTACAAGGAGCAGTTCCGGCGCCTGCGCAAGGCCTCGCTCTGCCGCAACGGGCGCGGCTTCAGCGCCAGCCCCCAGCGCTCCGTGTGCCCCTGCACCCTGCAGGACTTCCTGTGGTACTGATCCCATCCCAAACCATCCCAAACCATCCCCTCCCAGCGCTCCGTGTGCCCCTGCACCCTGCAAGACTTCCTGTGGTACTGATCCCAAACCATCCCAAACCATCCCAAACCATCCCCTCCCAGTGCTCCATGTGCCCCTGCACCCTGCAGGACTTCCTGTGGTACTGATCCCATCCCAAACCATCCCCTCCCAGCGCTCCGTGTGCCCCTGCACCCTGCAGGACTTCCTGTGGTACTGATCCCAAACCATCCCAAACCATCCCATCCCCATTCCCATCCCCATTCCCATCCCATTCTCAGTCTCATCCCCATTCCCATTCTATTCTCAGTCCTAATCCCATTCCCATGGGATTCCATCCCATTCCATGTTCCCAGTGATTTCGGGTACTACCACCCAGAGAACCAATCCCCATTCCCATCCCATTCCATCCCCATTCCCATGGGATCCCATCCCATTCCTTGTTCCTGCAGTGATTTTGGGTACGACCTCCTAGAGAACCAATCCCCATTCCCATCCTATCCCCATTCCCATTCCCATCCCATTCTCTTTCGCATCCCATCCTCATTCCCATCATATCCCCATTCCCATCCTATCCCATCCCATCCCATCCCATCCCATCCCATCCCATCCCATTCCCATTGGGTTCCATCCCATTCTGTGTTCCCAGTGATTTCAGGTACTACAGCCTGAAGAACCAATCCCCATTCCCATCCCACCCCATGGGATCCCATCTCCCGTTCCCTATTCCCAGTAGTTTTTGGTATTACCACCCTGAGAACCAGTCCCCATTCCCATCCCATTCCTGTTCCTATCCCATCCCATGCCCTTCCCATTCCCACAGGATGCCGCATGTTCCCTGTTCCCGGTGATTTCGGGTACTAC